GTTGAGCTACGCGCCATCGGAATTTTCTGCTGTTTCGGCCTTGCCTTGTCAGTGTAGATTTTTGGCCCTGGTGTGGTTTCTAAAACCGCATTGAGGCCCACTAGAGGATGAACAAGTGCAAGATGTGTAATGACAATGTTTCTGACACCAGTTAATTAACTGGCGACGGTGGTGGAGCAGAACATGGCTGTCGTTCCTTGTCGAAGTTCTTTGTGCGCAGCTCTGTGCCTTGCAAACGACTTCAACGAACAACAGTGAACATGAAGGTAAGTTGTACAACGAGCACTGCTGCAGATGTTACTTCATAACTGGAATATGCTGCACGTCGTCTTCAGCCTCAATGCGTCCATTCTCCGCTGCAGTTTGTCAGATATTTTGTGAATCTTTCCGTTGCCTTGAATCGATTTGTGGTACCCAACCTGACAATCTATCAAGGCAACTTATCTCACCATTGCTGCCACTACCTTTTATTTACAATCCTGCTTTCTCTGTGTAGGCAACAATTTTGGGCTTTTCCTGGATGCTTTGTATTGTTAAGTAACAGACTGATTTCTGTAGTTTTACTGGAAGGGTTTCGTCGGCCTGGCATTCGACTGGAAAGTCAGATAATTTAGAACAGGCATTGTTGAATTAGGCTTGCAAATCATCCATGGCAGGCAGTTTAGTGCGTTTCAAAATATCATTTACTTTTGAAGAAATTGTAGTTAGACCAATAGGACTCTTTGTACTTTGTTATTTTAAAAAGGGAGCGCACTTTGAGTGCATTCAAGTGGTGAATTTTGGCGTCATATGAATGCGAGCATAATGTCGGTCGCAGTCGATTGCCATATTGCCTTCCAAGTAAACACCTGCCATGTCAAGAAATTCAGTCGCTGGCCTCATCGAACCCACTACTTTGTTTTAGTGCGCCACCGACACAGCGTACTTCCACTCCGATATTTTCAATGCATACGCAACGCGCTGCGGGCCCACTGACATATAATGCGATTGTGCTGAATGTTTAGCAATGTACTCTTTTCTGTAGCTTTACTGAGATTTTTTCCTTGTGAAACATTGTTCTTTGTGTGGTTTGTGCCGAGTGGACTTTTGTCTAACCAATCAGCTTGAGCAAACAAACAGTTGTAAATGGTGTTATCACGGTGCGTTAATAACCGCTGTTCGGTGAGTCAGGAGGGTGGTGCATGCTCGGCGCCTCAAAGGCCAGGTAAGAATGCCTTCTTTTCACCCCCTAGTTACTTGCCTCTTCCACCAGCGGCTCTTTGATTTTCGTGGTTGCCTCGGGAGTGGCTCAGACCCCCTTCACCACCAGCACTTTTATGTCTCTGGTTGGTCAACAATCGTGGCTGTGGGGTGACACATTAAGTGGGAGTTGGGGGTAGGTGATATTGAGGAGGTGGAACGTTTTATATCCCAAAAATACGGTTTGGTGTAGTGGCTAACAGTGAGCGGCAGTTCCACACGAAAAGAAACGCCACCCTCAGTGACCCACCAGTGGACCAGTTGATTCAAGTGTCGTGTCCTTCAAATCCACGTCTGCTCAAATAGTAAATTTGTGAACGAGTTATGGACGCTGTAAGGTAGCCCACCTGTACAGACGAATTTGTAAAGAATGTGGGTGTGTGGGTATGCAGTCCTTAACAACAACAGCAGCAACCATAAGTTAATAATATTCACACAGCTAGTGGAGTTGGTCTGACACTGGGCATGCGAAACTGTCGAATCAGTAAGACTGAAACACCCAATGCTAGCACCCCACTGTGGGTTTCTGGATTAGCATGTGAGATGGTGCAAGAGGCTGGGGAGATTCGTTTGTCTTAAATCGCACCGATTGCTTTCCTTCAGTGAACCTCGTCCAGACGTCTAGTTTAAGCAAATAATCCAGCCACATCTTCCGTGATGCGGACGGACGTGCGTGCATGCTTGGTGCTAATAAAGCATGACAAGCATGGATTTCATAGCCTCTAATTACTGGCTACTTCCATTAGTTTAGGTACCTTGAGGAGATAATAATTGCTGTGCATCGCATCACGTTAGAGGTAGATAATGCCCTTTTGATTGGCCGCCGATGTAAATTGTGGTGGGTTGCGTGTCAATTCGCGTGTTCGGTCCTGTTCTTGAGTTGATGGTGGTGGGCGGTACCGACGTGGTTTATTGCTGGCAGTAGATCCTCGTCTGTTGTTCAGATGTTCGAATGTTTATATTTGACCAATGTGATAAAATCTGTTCCATTAGTGAGTAAAATAAGATCGCGCCATGCAAGATCGCGATCCAAATCTGTGCAATGATGTCGTTTCAAGAACGCCTCCTCATCTTTCGTGGTACAGATGATTGCTCGCTCGTGTGCTGAATTTTTACTCCGTAACACCGTTAGTTTGCTAAAAGGCGTTGGTCCACTCTTTGTGTTTAATGCAATGGCTTTGGCGTAGGTGAAGCAGCTGTGTGAAATTGGTGCAACCGGAATCGGTTCACCAGTTGGTACGTACGTCGTGTGAATTCTCCTACATGTAATTAGTTCTTTCAAAGTTACTTTTTTCTAAAATGTACCAATCCGCGTTATTTCAGCTCCTGACAACTCTGTCACCCACTCTTTGAATTTCTCATTGCTTGGGTAAATATGTGCGAAGTTGAATCGTCATGATCTGCACCTACGAAATGCCAAACGCACATTTCAAACCAGCACACGCACGCACAATTGAGATGCTTAGCAAACTATTGATTGTATTCGACTCGTAGTGCTTAAATTTTGCTGATGTGTGTGCGGCCTGAGGTGTAGAGAGCATGAAGATTGGAGATGGTTGGCACAGACTAGTTGTGTTGTCGTGTGCTTGAGTAGTTTATTTGCTGGTAGAAGAGTTTGACTAGCTGGTAGCAGTACGAGTGCCTCGAGGGACCGGGGGGTTGGGGTCACATAGAAACACCCACACCCGAGGTCCGGCATGACAGACACACACGCTATGAAAAGGGAGACGGTGCGCTTGAGCATCCGACGTCTTGGTGAGTGGTCATGAATGCTTACGAATCACTACACAGGGAATTTAATGTGGTGAAGAACTAAGTTCAAGGTGCTTCATTGCGTTGCCTTGACAACCACAGCTTGTGTGAGAGAGAAGGGGGTGTGTGCTCGACATCAAAGAAGCCTTGTAAGAAAAGATTTCACAACCTCAAATTGTGATTGCGCTGCACCACCCGATGTCAGAGATGAATACGGCTCTTTCATCCACCGACAATGGTCATCGTAATTTCTTACATGACAAATCGTATCTTAAACCTAGTTATTAAGTGAATGGCGGTTTTTGCGGTGCTTTGAGGAGCATTATAACTGGCGATAGGAAATGACTCCTTTTGGAATTAAATCTTATTGAGGCAAAATGCTAATTGATTTAATTTTATCTACCGAGATATTCCGATAATCGTAAGTGATCGCTTAAAAACACGCGATGCAATCCCACTGGTATTTACAGTGTACCCGATTCCGAGTCGGCTTGAAATCCTTGAAGCGGAATACACTCATTAGGGTATGACGCTATCACTTCAATGCCTGCTAACGACAGTAAGGTTCAGAGGGAACATCATGTGAAATTCCTTTCTCCCTTTCGAATCACCCTTGATAAAACCAGAGAATGTCTGAAACGAAGCTAGTGAAGGCCACACTGCTTCATTTCCCTATGCTCTAGTTCCAGGTACATCGGCTCATGACACATGCATAGCAGCAATTGACATTAACTTCGACTGAATTGCCCATTTACAAAAAGAGTGATGAATCCAGTCACTGATTTTGCAAAAGCAACTACACTTGAAATCACTTACTGAAGTGAGGCTTTGACAGAAGGTGTTACTTGAATAATTCTCAAGGCATTATTTGCGTATTCAGAGATGACAACTACAATCATTAGCCGGGGATCACCGTTAACCTAATCCATTCTGACTACGTCGCACAACTGACATCCATCAGATGTTGGAATGCAGCATCTAGTGCTGCAATTTCAGTGATGCACTCCCAATTCATTGCACCTTGTCTCACACTAAGACTGGATCTACAGGGAACAGTTAAATTGTCGTTGATTGTGAATGAGAGAATACATGTTTTTTCCCTCATCCCGGCACATGAAGGTCCTTACTAAAGTTTTCAGAAACAAATCGAACTGAAACCACGAGCCCTTGGCTGTATGCTATACCTCAGTGACCTTAAAGACAGGTAATCTTTCACGATCGATGCTTGATTGGGTCAGTTTAAAATCAGATAAGCGTCTTCATGAAACTGTTTTTGATCCAGGATTCTCCACGAGGGCTCATCATTGATTTCTTCATATTTTGCACTAATTCATTAACATCTGTGTTAATCCGTTTCATTCATTAGGATAAGGCCACCTTGACTTTGAACAAGTGTTCACTTTATGACAGATCACTCGCTCCTTTGCAGAGTTGATTTCCCTTGGTTACAAGCAAATGTAACAGAAAGAAAAACATAGATATGTAAATGAGTTGTTGTGTATTATTAATTATTAATACAATGCCGTGCATTGTCGATTGTTGGTTTTTATTGGTGGTGAGAAGACCAACTACAGTGACTGTGGATTTGGCTATCACCTCGGGTCCACAGTAGCGATGACTTGCTTGATGCGGAGACAGACTTGAGTGTCCTGTCACCTAAGGCGCAGGTCATTATGAAGAGGTGCGGCGAAGACCTCACGCTTCATTTGGAGATCGACAGAGCAGAGAATGCAGACAGCCTGCTCCCCATATTCGTAGACGTTTTGATGAGGCTGGATGAACTCCTTCAGGACATATCTGCATTGACGATGGAAATCCAACCTGAATTGACAAAAATGCATTTCACTGAAGGGCTACAAGGGAAAAGGACGACAGGAAGAATTTGCAACCCAGCTCTACTGACAGCCTTGTCAATGTCCCAATCAATTGACATAACTTCTCTATGTTGAGGTCATTTTCTGCATTTTGTACCGATTCCTTTTAATCAATGAATCCTGCGATTTTGCATACGTGTTATGACCTTTAGTCAGTGCCTGGTTCCGTTGTAACCGAATTGGTACAGTTTGATGTGTGTCGTGGGACTTGTAAACACGACTGTCCCAGCAGCTCGATCTACTTGGGATAAGAAAAGAGAAAACAACGGTTTGGTAATCAGTCATGAATGTCACAGCTGGAATGTAACAAATAAACCACACACTCCATACATGGAGTTCAAAAATTAGTTAATTTGACTGGATGTTAGTTCGATTGTAGACGCGCGCTTGCGTGCAAATAGTCGACTAAATCACGAATTCGCCAACTCTTGTTTGTTAAAATTAGGTATTAAGCCGATAGTGTGAATGAAAGAACCAAACACAATCTACTTATGAGAGGCGAGTAAAAAGGAAAAATGCGATTTGGCCATTAAGTCACGGAACGTGCTGTGTGTGTGTGTGTCGCGGTGGGCATGCAACAAGATAATCACTCGCCTTCATATGACAGGAATCCGTTCGATCTTAAACGAGGGGCTGCTACACAGAATTCTTGTACTACAGATGACCTACCTGATCGGATAGCCGTAAGTACTGATCTCGTATGATAAGCCTCCTACTAGTTTGCTTGATGTGGACATACTCATGTAAATGTCCTCTGCAATACGATTAAAATATGCACGAATTTTTGTACGCTATTCTTATCATTGATACAAATGAAACTGTACATTGCCAGTCAACATGTAGAAACAAACAGTAACAGGTCATGTTAGATGAGGCCAGGCGTTAGTACAAGTACTCAAAGAGATCACGTTGCTGCTAAATCGTTTGATCGGGAAGTCACACGACTTGTGTGACTGCACGTCGGTGACGTTGCGTTAACCAACAAAATCGGCGTTGATACAACCGCACATTCCACTTTGTGTGTTGGTCATAGAAACGGCGTGCAGTCCAGTGACGATGAGGACGATTGTCAGTGAAGTCGGGGAAAATTGACCTCCCCACAACCAACATCTACTTACACACTGCACCCACAGCCACCACAGCCCGTCCAATACAAGTAGCCAGTAGTTAGATGTAGCTCAGATTCCCTGTCGTTTCACTCAAGCCGTGCTAATGCATCACATACCAGCCGCGTGTTCTCTTGTTTGCGTTGCTTGAGCCGGACAGAAGGGAAAAGAAATTAATGCATACAACTGGTAATCCGGATGGACAAGTAAAGTATCTTGTGGATCTCCGGCTGGCCTATCCACTACAACCATGTTCACTGCAGTCATGTTAGCCGATGTCAAATTTATGTCTGCAGACCGTCAATATAGCTCCTCTGACTAGTCACCTTAACCATGGAAACCAATTCCGATTTAGTTGGTGTGAGCAAGTACAATCAGGTACAACGCTCTACAAGCCAGACGTCTGGGTTCGGTGCAGTCATCATGTAGGCGCATCCTCTTGTGCACTAGTCCTTTGTTTAGGAAATGGCATTTTTCCCATTTCTTTATTCTACTGCCTAAAACATGATATTTCAGTGAAACAACGCTACCAAGACCCGCTGTGAATACACTTGTAGCACGTCGATGACAGAAAGCTAGTCGATGATTGTGCACATAACTTAACTGTCCCCTAACCATTCCGAACCGAATTAGGCTACATTCTTTGGTAAGAATTGATGTCTTGCAAAGCATCAACGATTTTCCCTGATCGACACAATCGCGTCAAAACAGATGTCTGTGATTTTCGAGATCCGTCGACGGATTCGCTGACTTGATGTGGCTGAGACCAATTGTGGCTGCTTGACAAGGACACGTGATCCTCCTAACTAAACACGAAGCATAATCTACTTCTCCTTGAATACTCATTAGATTCGTAACTAGTTTAGAGGAAACTCACGTAGGCAGTGTTGAGTTCTGCGCATCGTCGTCACACTCAACGTCAACGCTGAATTCCATCTGGAAGTTCATGCAGGCTCGTCAGAAAATCCACGAATGCAGAGAGCTGACTGTCCACGTAGTCTGTTGTGTGGGTCTCCGAAGGAAGCTCGAACATCTTTGCTGAATCTCTTGGCAATGACTTCAGCCTGATTAGACAGGAGAGTCAAATGTGGCTCTGCATCAATCAGGTCATTGCAACTGTTTCCCATGAGATGATGGCGAAATCCGCGGTCACCGTAGTTGGACTTCTGACCACCTACAGGGCAAACGACAGATATGCGAATAGCGCTGCAACGTTAAAGGAGGCATTGTTATGAATGAAATGAGGTCAGCAGAGTGCGAGACAATTTGGTGGTTTGGCAACATGCATTGCGGTCCAATGTGAAGATTACGTGAAAAGCAGCTGATCAGACATCTGTCAGACAGCTCTTTACGCCACCAGTGGATACGCCAATAACTCAGCAACTGTTTTTCAATGAATGTAGACAGCATTAACACCTCAATGCGATCAGCAACCCGAGATTACAACAACTGCTGCATCACCGAACAACTGACGCTTATTGGTCTACAACAATTCTGAAAGTGATTTTTAATTAGGAAATTGTATAAACGAGCTTTAAGTGAGTTGTGAAACGAAAAAGCCATCTGCCTGGTCAGACAGTAAGTGGTTAAACAGTGAACATACAGACAATTGTGGAAGCTTTAATCATTGATTAAGTGCGACTTTAAGCGGGGAGTGCTGATGGCTCGACTGCTGGATTAACACCTTAGAAATTTAGGGTGCCTGGTGACTTGAGACATACTTATGCACAAATATCTAACAAATTTAACAGGCAGCAACTTATAGAGGCTGAAGGTAGAAACTATTCGAAAACGCGATTGTGTCATATAAACATGTCGATCAGTGTGAATTTAAAGTACCAATTCAGCTGCTAACTAAAGGGTATATTATGGCAAACTGCTGTTTTCCACGTACGCCGCCTCGGATCTGCATGAGCGCTCGAATTCTTGTGAACTGATTACGGTTTCAGCAGTTCTTGATTATCATGTGACGAATAAGCGATGCAACACAGCCAACATTCCACACATGCTGTTGATTTGATTTTCACATGATTGGACTTCACTAATGACATCAATAAGAAAACAAAATTTTAATTCAACATCAATGCCTTGTGGGCGCGTGGTTAACATTGTCCATCGCCATCGCTCTGTTTACGATATGATTAGCGATATGATTGATTTACACCACCATCACCAAGTCCAAAATTGCGACTACGCCTACCACCATGTCTGTAATTTCCAAAATTGTACAAATGCTTTAACTAAAAAACCAGCTGCAGTTAGGAGAGTGGCATTAGCGTGTCCAAATGTGTGCAAATGTCGCATCAGGAAATTACCCCTTCAACTGGCAAACTCGTGAAACCAGTCACAGCTCAGTAAATGCCCGTCCGCCTAACGCGTGCAACATTCGTGAAGTCTACGTTGATACCTCTCGCGTTTGGTGCCATCAAGGCCACTTAACATACATCTACTCCGCAGTTTGTGGCTCTCACTTCCGGATCTATCACCCCAATTAGCACCCATGAATTTGGGCTGTGTCGGGACCAACCATGGCGACTCACAATGTTCCGTTTGAACGTGGATGTGTGTGGTGCGCTAGTTTAGTTAATAAATGAGAAGACGACACAGACGAAGTTAACAATGTCGCGACTCACCTGCTGTTATGACTGCGCTGCGCCACCTGCACCTCTGTGCGGACGTTCGTAAAGTGAACAAACAAGCGAGGTGGCCTGAACAGATGCACTTAAACAGTAAAACAATGATGAGGCGAATCAAAGTCGATGATGTTGAGAGTGGCTGGTATCACTAAAAATCTTGTTAATAGCTCAGAAATGTTTTTTTACTATGCAAGAGAGACGCTAGATGAAGTGGATTTAATTGTGCACGATGTGACGGCATGTCAAATTAGACCTGATTTCTATCGAAATTATGAACACCGCAACCGATTTCGTGATGACATGTCTAAATACGACTTGAACTCTGTAGCAGTCGTCTATGCCTTATGTGTGGTTAATGAAGGAATGGTTAATGTGACCACTCACGCGCTACCAGCCACACATCAACATCTGCTTCAAGACATTTTTGACCAAATTAAACA